TGTGAGCGCCATCCGTCGCTCCCAGAAGCCCAAGAAGGACGCTCCCCCCAAGAAGCTCAGAGGCGCTCAGGCCAGAAAGGCTGCGGAGCAGAAGTCGGAGTAAATACAAATCTCAGAGCAACGAGAACGCCGAAGACAAGAGGTCAAGACGGGCGCGTCGACTGAAATAGAGCCGTGCTGGTCAAGGGCGAAAGCGTCCCTGTAATTTAGCAATATCGTTATTTGGTATTGTCCTTCCGAGGCCGTCAGCAATCTCAGCACCATAAAAAAGAAAGCGAGAATCAAATGCCGTGCAGATTGATTGGGTCCAGATTAGGTTTGCTGGGCCATAGGACAAAAGTTTCGTAGTTTAGCTCACCTAATTTTCTCTGAGAGATTTCCTGCAACATGGTCATTACCTGCAGTTGGCACATGTTCCGGCTTTTTAACGACTGCAGCCGCTTGTCGGGCCGAAACATATTCTAGAACCTGTTGGGACAAAGCTTGGAGCTTTCAGCTTTTGCCGCATGTAACACTCAACACCCGCCTTTTCCCGAGTTCATGATGGATAAATGGAATCAACTCACAAATTCGGTAGTTTCCTCGGTGATGCATATCGTGGAACACACGAAAATTACCGGAATATGGGGCGCTTCGGATTGGATCAAGTCGACTCTAACGTACGTTTATGGACCAAGACGCAAGAGAAAGTGTCTCGGCCTGTATCATGACAGTACCGTCGGGGACATGGATATAGGTACACTGAACTGGATGTGGGATATAGATATGTACTTCCGGTGCTCTATAGACTAGGTAAACAGTCTCAGCAGGGTGCAACTGATAGATGATGCGAAAAGGATATCCCAAGTCCATTCTTCTTTATAAGCCTACCATAAGATGACAAGAGTATAGGTAGCGGTTAATACGATGGATGAGATAAGTTCGCGGTTGATCTTCCTTAGATTAGGTGTCTTTAGGTAGGAAGTTTCCGGTAAGATCAATGATTGCTCTGTACCTAGAGACCCAAACATCGGACTAGTACTGTGGGAGCTCTCCGTGTGATCTCCGTTGTCCGTCTACCCCTCCGCAACGCAGGTCGGTATGAGAGCAACAGAGCTATAATCATAATGTCTTAATAAGGACTGAATAATGGTTAGACATACATACATTATTTCCTTACCTACCCGAGACAGTAGTGATGGGGTAGCATACCTGGCTTACGTACCTGGCCGTCGCCGTGTTCCTGTATCTATAAGAACTAGTTAATTGCCATTATTATTATGACTGTACAGAGAAGTTGTGGCTCTTGTCTTGCTATTCTAGATCTCCATCTCTAAAGAGATTGCCAGGTCATCATCAATTCATCAAGAAATGTAGGTCCAGTGCGATCTATCAACCAAAATATACCTCTTGTTTCTACCTTACTATTCCCACTGTTGTTTGTGCCTTCCACATTCATCTCCTTCCCAACCCCGAATATGGCGCGTGTTTGTTCCCGTTACCCCTCCCTGCAGTATGCCCCTCCGTAGCTCCCTCCTGCTCCACCCCCGCTAACCTCAAGTGCTTTCTTTCGCCCTCGGTCGTTGTTCTTCCATCAACACTTCCCCAATCTTGCGTTGGTCTGATTCTGTCAGTCCGTCTTACTCACACGCGATACAGATACGTTGGCTTCTTGTTCCTAATCAACAGCTACCAAGCATAAGCTCTAATCTCTCATCATGGTCAAGGCGGGTAAGCATCTGATCAACTTGCTCCAGAAACCACCGAAAGAGTTATCCTTCTAATTCATCCCTATAGCTGTTCTCGGAGCCTCTGGTGGCATTGGCCAGGTATGTAATCTCTGACTTCTGCGTTACCGCTCGTCACATAGTCGCGTACTGATATTCATTCTTGTCGCCGTCTTTAGCCTCTATCTCTACTGTTGAAGGCATGCCCTCTGGTTGATGAGCTTGCTCTCTACGATGTCGTCAACACCCCCGGCGTCGCTGCGGATCTGTCGCACATCTCTTCCGTCGCTGTATGTGACAACTTCCTAGAACCCATGAACTCAAGTGACTCAATCCTCGTTCCTGACTCGCACTTGCAGAAAGTCTCCGGCTACCTTCCCAAAGACGATGGTCTGAAGAATGCATTGACTGGCACTGATGTTGTCGTCATTCCTGCTGGAATCCCTCGTTAGTACTCCTACTCGCCAGAAATAAAAAAACAACTGCTGCTCTTCTGACTCCAATTCTTCCCAACAGGCAAGCCTGGCATGAGTCGTGACGATCTTTTCAAGGTGAATGCTGGTATCGTCCGCGACTTGGTGACGGGTATCGCACAGTACTGCCCCAAGGCTTTTGTACTCATCATCTCGAACCCAGTAAACTCCACCGTCCCAATCGCCGCTGAGGTGCTCAAGAAACAGGGTGTCTTCGACCCCAAACGCCTCTTTGGAGTCACCACTCTGGATGTTGTCCGTGCAGAGAGCTTCACTCAAGAATATTCCGGCCAGAAGGATCCATCCAAGGTCCAAATCCCGGTTGTTGGCGGGCACTCTGGGGAGACCATCGTTCCCCTCTTCAGCAAGGCTTCCCCAGCTTTGAATATTCCTGCAGACAAGTATGACGCTCTCGTGAACCGTGAGTGTCTGCACTATATCTACAAGTATTTGGAACTGGCGACTGACTCGTCCGTAGGTGTCCAGTTCGGTGGAGATGAGGTAGTCAAGGCTAAAGATGGCGCCGGCTCCGCCACTTTGTCCATGGCTTATGCTGGCTTCAGGTCTGCCACTTTCTCCAGAGCTTGAATTTGTCTCTCTGCTAATTCCAGGTAGATTTGCCGAAAGGGTTATCAAGGCTTCGCAGGGCCAGTCAGGCATTGTTGAACCCACTTTCATTTACTTGCGAGGCGTCACTGGTGGTGAGGAAATCGCCAACGAGACCGGTGTTGAGTTCTTCTCGACCCTTGTCGAACTCGGAGTAAGTGTTTCCACGTCTTGAGCACAAACCATTTCTCATATAGTATATGCTAAATGCAAAAAAAAGCGTAATGGCGCGGAGAAAGCCATCAACATTCTCCAGGGCGTCACCGAGCAGGAAAAGAAGCTCCTCGAGGCTTGCACCAAGGGCCTTAAGGGCAACATCGAAAAGGGCATCGAATTCGTCAAGAATACCCCACCAAAGTAAACGCGCCTATCCCCGTCAAACAAGATCACCCCCATTGGCCAGCCGCACCGTTGTCTTCCCTGAAGAACACTTGTCGGTGGCATTTTCCCCTCCCCGAAGAGCCCACGAGAATTGAAAAGGACGTCGCTAATCAAAGCTATCCCGGAAAGATAGGCTTTAAATTATAAGGTTGATGAAGACGGATGGAGGAGGTCGCCGTGGGGATGATCATTAGGTTCTTGAAACGCAGGGCCCTAGACATGCATGCAGAAACCAATAAATCCTTTTTTCTTTTTTTTTTTTTAATGTGAGCCCTGTTGCAGTGTAAAAGAGATAATTGAGCCTGCCATCGGGACAGAGACAAAAGGGGCCTTTGTTGTTATTTCATACTGTTTCCTTCTAGGCAATTTCTCCGTCCCAAGCGTTCAGGGCCTTGGCTGAACCGTTTTGATTTGGAACGTCGCCCCGGGAAGCTCAGACGTTTCAGCTTGTACAGTGGTGGCAATGCCCATGTTCGATAAAGCACCACGAATGACGCCGCATGGAAACCAGAGAAACTGGGGTCATGTCCAAATGTTAGAATGACGATGAAGGTAGGAATTTGGGGTCTTCCCACCACTTGTGCCATAGCAGTCGCCTCGCTTCGAGAAGCCGTGCTCATTCTTGCAAATGGTCGAAACGAGTTATCTGTGAGGACGTAGACACCCTGAAAGATAGGATATACCACTGTCAGCGTCTATCCGCGAAGACTCAAGCGTACAAGTATGGTCTAAAGTCGCTTCCGTGTACTTACCCGGTGATTTGTTTTCAAATTATCCACTTGTTTCCTGAAAAGAATCGTCCACAGATCCTTGCACAAAAATTTGATAACGTCGAGATTGTCTGTGAAACGAGGGCGATCGCGAGAAAATCTGCCCGGTGAGAAGATGCGAGAGGTATATGTCAGCTGCATCTGCGTTCAGTCAAGCCCCGGTCAGGAAGATCCCCTCTGCCTTTGTGTTCATCCGAACACATGTTCCATCCCTCGAGTACTAGAGAGAATGTGTCGCTGGCTTACCGTTCCGCAAGTCCTTGACCAACTCGGTAGCCTATAGACTCTAGTCGAAAGAATGTCGACTCCCTGATTTCGTCATCATCTGAAGCTTTGTCATTGAGTGCCAATTCCTTCGCTAAGCGTTCGGCCATGGGAACGAGCTCTATCAGAAGAAAGTCTAGGCATGAAGTACTCAGGAAGCGAGCATGAGGATCAGAGCTATTGATAGATGAGGCAGATGCATCAAACGACATCTCGATGAGTTCGTGTGGAAATTGTCTGCGAGATATACAGCACGTTATTCCCAATCTGAAAATCGTAGGATACCGTTAAACTTCAGCTCAGATAAACTTCGTTTTCCATATCCGTGATCGTGAGTATTTGCGGAGGTGGACTCTGAACTCCGCAACGTGGTTTGGACCTTTCGATAAGGGTAGTGCTTGGAGTTCGGATCTCCTTGACATACACTTAAGTATCCCTAACTTCTGCCGTCCAACTTCGGTGATTACAACTCTCAAATAACTCAAGAACCATCAACTTCATCCTACTACACTGACAAACTCGACCTACTACAAATCTTTAATGGTGATATCTACATGCAGATTGGATCATCTGTAGCACCTGCGTTTCAATGAACATGTTCAAAGCCATGAGGGCGTTAAGAATGTGGGAGATGAGCCAAATTTAATACTAGTGTCTACCTCACCGACTAACATGGTTCTCTGGACCATGTCTAATGTTGCTCATCCTCATCGAAACTCGCCCAACGAGCCTATGCCCAGCAATAACGCCTGAACCCAATTGCGCCATGCTCCCATGCAAATATGCCTCGCTAGATGTCATCACGCATCAAAACCACCAATATGTCTAGGGGACTCCGAATTAGTCTGGTTCGTAAAGGAGAAATTTCCCCCGTTTACAAGACCGCTGCTAAATGAGTTACGAAATGCTGGTCGAGCATAAGCCCGGTGGGGAGCATTTGATGCCAGACGCTTAGCTGGTCTGACTGGGGAACCATCATCATCACTACCAGTCAGATCGATCACTTGGGCCGCTGAGCGTTTGTTAGTGGACAGACGAGTTGCAGATGATGTCGCTGACGGCTCCCGGGATTGAGCCGGTGTCCGCTCTAGGGAGAGGCCTGATGCTGAGAGTGACTCCTGCTTCACATGCACAATTCCAGGTTCTTTGATCTCAATCAGCTCGTCCTCGTCCTCTGTCGCCGGAGTGACGCCCCCAGCACCTTCGAACTCGTCTTCCTTTGGACTCGACCAATTCCCGTCCGGTTCAATAATGACCTGTTCCACATCCGGCGATGTGGAATGGAGTATATCATCAACATATCTTCACAGTTAGTGTATTTTACGTGACAGTTGCCAATTCGCGCAACTTACTGGTCAACTTGCAATGATTCATAGCTGGTGGCCTTGGAACAAACCGGGCACGACCATGTAGGCGCTTGTTCCTGCAACTGCAAAAACGACGATGCATCAAAGCACTGGTTATGCGTGCAGACGACAGTGCGACAAGGGACCTCGATCCGCAGCGTGGAAAGAGGACATTTCAAGGACATGACAGTGGAGGTGGCAACGATGTCAGAATCCTCCGCTCTATTCTTCACTGCAAACCATTAGAGGAATTCGATGGATGAGAAGGGATGACGGGTCCATACTTTCACGTAATACTTGCTCTTTTGTGATCGTTTTCCTCCTCTTCAATTCCAAGACAAGGTCCTCAATGGGATGGCGCTGGACTAGGTTCACAAGAACGAAAAATCTCTACAAGATAGTCAGGAAGAATACATAATGGGCATTGACATGATGGAATGGAATGAGCATGGGTGGGGCTGAAAAGGACGGCTTGCCTTTTGCGTAAGCGCATAAGTCATAACAATATGATTGGGATACCCTGGCTTTTTGCGAATATAATTCGTCACATCCGCGGGCCTCGTGGTACCGGGCTTATTCTTGAGGCCTTTCAGGTTAGCCTTGACCTCGTCCAAATTTGCTTTGAGCTCAACTTGGTGAGGGAAAGCAATATCGGACTTGGTGTATTGATTGAGGCCACTGTCCGCTGCGCAATAAACCATTACCCGAAGATTGGGATCAGCTTGCAATCTTGAAGCTACAGTTGGGGTGAGGACGACTTTCAGCTCGACATTGTCCCTGGTTTGCTCGCGTACTTAAGAAGTTAGACTTGACTGGTGGTTGATCTCAGCTGATAGGATCAATGCTCACTTTTGCATTCTACAGTAGGAGTAAGCTGCTCCAAGATTGTGTAGAACGGGCTGTCTTTGAAAGTAATGCGGCCTGAAAACACATGAGCAACGATCTTAGGTAGAGAAATGAAGCGTGCACAGGTTACCAGGCGTGAATCCATGCGATGACATCGGTATAGTCAATGGCGTTGGCCTATGGTGTGTTTGTATTGACTGGGTATTAAGTGATGCGTGATATGGCTGGCTTGGGAGAGGTTGTTGTGTCGTTGACGGCCCAGGCATCGCGCGATGTGCGGTAGCATAAATGAATCTCCTTAGATTATCATAACGCTCAGTATGTCCTCCTTGGTTGAGTCTCTCAATATCTAGATAATTGAGTCAACATAGTTCTAGCCAGTCTCAGTGTTCTTGAACACCAATTGAAATGAATGCAAGATAGCAAATAAAGGGAGAACGAACAGTCAATTATCCGGAGTTGTAGCGAAGCTTTAACACCAGAAACAGCGAGCCCCTCACTCCTCAGGATATCTTTAAGCTGTGCATTCGTAAGTGTCTTTACCAAAGCAACAACGCTCTGGAGCTCAGACGAGTGAACGGCAGAGGCCATGATTCCGAGCTGATATGACGAGTGCGAATGGCAGGGTATAAATGAACTCAAGAAGTGTGGTTAGAGGCGAATGCGCTTAGATTGTCAGCTCTATTGAAAAACATTTCAACTCTTATTTTATTGACAATTTCGATTCTGGGCAGGGAGATCAGATCAGCAGTAGAAGAACAAAAAGAAAGCGGAAAAAACAAAAACAAAAGGAAGCTGTATACATTTGTGACCGAAACTCCTGTCGCATCTGAGGTGCGACAGAGCGAATACCCAGTTAAGGTTTCCGAAGTGATGACATAAGATGGCCCAGAACGAGACTAGAGTGAAGTTCGAAAAAAAATATATCGTAGCCATATCGCGAATTCAACCTTTCCTCCTATTGTTCACCACCTTTCTGATACCCACGTCTCCCATCATTTTCTCACAACTGCTAAGGTTCCGCTAAATTTCCCTCGAAACAAACAACATGGCAAAGAGTGTTCGAGCCAGCGTTTCCAAGCGTAACAGGGCGAAACTCCGGGCCACGGTCTTTGGCCCTGCTGTTGATGCGCGGACAGAGAGGCTGTCTGCAAAGTTAAAAGACCTGGCCTCCCAGCCGATAATCAGAGAACAGAAAACTTCAAGTATGGAATCGGATCCTACAGGTACTGGTTCGTTACTCCCACAATCAGTGCTCAATATAGTTCAACTGCATGTTCGTTCTACAACTAACAGTCTCATTCCCGCTGTACAGGTAGCCAAGTCAAATCTACAGACAGCAAACCATCAGTAATAAATGAAGGTGGGCCTCTCCTTCTCCTTCACCTCATCCCTAGAGGACCAAATCTTCGCGAAGAAATCACATTGCTGATACGTTTCCCTTTAGACATGGACGTCGACACAATGTCCGTTAAGCACACCCAAAGTCGCTCTCAGAAGTTAGGACGTGTTCAAAAACGCAAGAAGGCCCGTTCGTCCATTGTCTTCCATTCGCATTCTTCGAAAACAAGAAAGGGAGCTCAAAGGAAGTGATTAAATAAATCCCGAAAGCGGACAAATGACATCTGAAAGGCGGCGTTGGGAGTTTTAGCTTGCAAAAGGTACTTGCATTTTTCCAGCTCCACTACGTCAAACATGTGGGAGCTTTTATGGTACAAAACTATCAAGCACAACCATTCCTGGGCGATAACTCAGATTGAGACTTTTTAAGTTTGCATACAGAGGTACTATAAGGAACAGGTGCCTTATATCAAACCATTAAGGATTAATATTTTTAGCTTAAGGCCATTCGTCGTTGTTATTACGGCTATCAAGTCTCCATTTACCTGTGTTAATGGTGCATACTTTGAGTATTTTCATAACAAGGTGGTGTGCGTAATGCATGCATATACCTCTCTAAAGTCATACCTATAATTTAGCAACTGCTGTTATTATTACCCAGTTCGCTATACACAATATGCTAACCCCATATGGGAGGCGGTGCTTCAGGGTGTAGTTCCCCCCCTGACATCCCTAAGATAAGTATTAAGTGGTACGGGATCTCAAATCGGTTGATTCTGTACAAAATCACCTTTTACACAAGTCCTATATTTACAAGTTGAGATCAATTGCTTTGTAAATAGCACAATATTATCTTGCATAATATTGTCTTCTGCTGTTATTGCCCGCAGTGACCAATGTCAATTAAATGTGTGTGGATGTTGACTTTGACAAGCCTGAATTTGATAACCTCACCCGAATCGCAGCTTTCTTTCCCCCAACAAAGTCAATTCATCATCTCGGACAATCTGGCTTTCAAATTCGTATGTCTAGCTTTAAATGCGCAAAAACCTTAGCTGAGATACTGGAGTTCTAATACCAAAGTTTACAACGGTAATCAGTAGGATACATTGACGTTGCGGAGGTTAGCAATTATTCTGCCGTTTGAATGCCATACTTGGTTAGCATGTTGTCCATAATTTTAGACTGTACCTCCTTTGACAACCTTTGGACACTTCACACAACCTGGCAGCTTATGAGACCTCGATAATCTTAAGCAAGTCGCTGTTGATATGCGACAGGTTTCAATACTCTGTTGAGTTTCCTGGCGCTCGGGTCAAAAGATATCGAAGCCTGCAAGATGGCTCTCAAATGGGAGAATCGGGCAATTCCAATCGCCAATATACTCATTGTTGTAGCCATTTCAATATTTTCATCCGGGTTTTTCCCCTACAAGTCTTTGCTTCCAGGACTGGCCACATTTGATGGAACCAATATTGACACTGTGGCACCAAAAGTCTTTGATAGAGTGATTTTCATGGTGATTGATGCTTTGCGCAGGTACGACTAATTGTATCTAAATGCTCAACTCTGTATCCCTAGCTGAGCCTCTATGCTAGTGATTTCGTTTACTCGAAGGCTTCCGGATTCTCTTTCACTCAAAGGTCAACCAGAAGCCACATAATTATTTTGCCACGGAATCTGCTGCTGACTGAGGCGCGAGATCAACAGCCTAATCCGTTCTGGAGCGGCTCTACCTTTCACGGCCCATGCCAGCTCTCCAACGGTCACGATGCCACGGCTCAAGGCCATGACAACTGGCTCCGTGCCGTCCTTCTTGGACGTGATCTTGAATATCGCAGAGTCTGATACCTCTTCTACCCTCGCATATCAAGATACATGGCTAGCGCAGTTAAAGGCGCAGGGAGGTCAACTTGTCATGTACGGGGATGACACTTGGATCAAGCTATTTCCGGGAGTCTTTGATAGGTCTGATGGGACTACGAGTTTCTTCGTATCGGTCAGTCGTAACCAATGGGCCAACAGAAGACACATAAATGGGTCAAATAATTAATAGCCACCTACAGGATTTCACTGAAGTAGATCACAATGTTACCCGCCATGTCCCGCGGGAGCTATCACAGCGCGATTGGTCGGCCTTCATAATGCACTTTTTGGGATTGGACCATATTGGTCACAAAGCTGGCCCTAAGAGGTGAGACGTTCGACTTTCACTTCGCTCTCCGAGTTGTGTTCCTAATATCGTAGTCGACATATGATGACAAAACAACGAGAGATGGACTCGATCGTTGCTCTAATTTATGCCGCCATGGAGGAACAGGACCATCTTCAATCGACCCTGTTTGTTCTATGCGGAGATCATGGGATGAACGATGCCGGGAATCACGGTGGCTCATCACCGGGAGAAACTTCGCCTGCTTTGCTTTTCATTTCACCGAAGTTTCAGACTAAAAAATCTCCTGAAGACAGTCCGGTTGAAGCATTTAGCGACTTGCAATACTATCGGACTGTTGAGCAGATGGACATCACGCCAACTCTGGCGGGACTTCTGGGTTTACCTATTCCGCTGAATAGTCTGGGCATCTTCATACCAGAGTTTCTAATGATGTGGGATAATGGTAACGTCGTCAGTTTCTTTTCGTCTGTGACATATTTCAAAACTGACATGTTGCCCCTTGGCTCTAGATGCTCACAGAATTGATATCCTGCTTCGGAACGCCAAGCAGATGCTTAACGCAATGAAGGGAACCTTTCCCGACATAGATGTTGAAGCAACTACTACTCCTCACGGCTGCGACAAGCAATTGCCAACAGGTCCTGCCAAAGTTCATTGTGCCTGGTTTCAAGCACTACAATTAGTCCACGGACCGGAGCGTAACAGAACAACTCTGCCAGATGTCGAATCGGCTCTGCTAAGAGTTCTAGGATCTGCCCAGGAAGTGATGAGCAGCACTGCCAGTAAATACAATACAGCAAGACTTTATTTGGGCTTGATCGTCGCAGCTCTTGCCGTATTACTCTCTTTTTTCCCAGCATATGGATTGGTCTCGAAGTCCAGCAATGCTGTGACGTTTCTCATGTTAAGCATTATAAGCTACGGTGGTATGATGTTTGCCAGCAGCTACGTGGAGGAAGAGCAACAATTCTGGTATTGGGTCATCACGGCATGGACTGTCTATTTGCACATAAAATCACTCCGCCCATGGCATGGCTCAAAAGATCCTCAGTTTTCGTTCTCACGATTTGCAACATGTATGACAGTTGTGCTGGCCATCACTTATCGGATTCTCAGACGCTGGAATCAATCAGGGCAAAAATTTGCTGCTGAGCCAGATATTGCGCGAAATTTCTTTCCTCGCCATCAGAACATCTTGTGGGCCTTGATTATACTGACTTACTTTGATACATGCATGCGTCTTTGTCTCAATTCACCCCCGAGTAATATCTGGCGTTCCGCAGCTATACTTACGACAATAGCGGCCTTCTTTTTCAAGCTGGCTTTCGTGGTGTCCGACTCACCCGAGCTTCTTGACGAGTCCCTTTTATCTCCCATACAGAAAAGCCTTGAAGGCATGCCATTGATTCTACCCGCAAGACTCGTCTTCTGTGGAATTTCTCTACTGGTGGTGACATCGTTCTGTACGATGAATGTCACACAGAAACGATATTTTTTAACAGGAGGCAAGTGTTGACTAATTACTACCGCGTGGGGGTTTACTGACAAACATTAGTGATCCCGCTAGGCACTATATTTCATGAAAGCCTAACCCTCTTTTTGATAACACAGTCAAAAGCGGTCAATATCCCGATCTTCTTGGTGTTTCGATTACAGGCTATAATTCTTGATTCTCTGAAAATGAGCGCTATTGAAGTGACCATTGCGTCCTTGCTTTCACAGCATATGACCTTTTTTGCATTTGGAGGTTCGAATGCAATATCTTCTGTCGATCTTTCCAACGCATATAACGGGATTGGCAGTTATAGTGTGGTATCGGTGGGAGTCTTGACATTCATAAGCAACTGGTCTGGGCCCATATGGTGGGCATCCGCTGCTCGGCTTCTCTACTCAAATCCAACTTTTGCGGAGAAATACAGCCATAGAACGCTCCTAACGTTCCATGCTGCAACGTCTTTGATGTCCGTCATGGCGGCATGTACAATGTTAAGGACACATATTTTCATCTGGACAGTCTTTTCACCGAAATATCTCTACACATTGGCGTGGACTATTCTCAACCATCTGTTTATCA